TATTAATGATATGGTTAATACATAACCATGAAATGTATGAAAATAATGAGATTTCAATAAATTATATATTATCTCATAAATTATGAGAACGAAATAATATTGTTATAACCAATATTTTCACCTTTAATGTGAATCTTGAAATCATGCAAAATTAGGATCATAAAACATAGTCTATTAAAGACTATCACCATAGAATTATTGGCAAAAATGGAAAAAAAAAAAAGCAATAAAGGCATAGATGAACTTCTCAGAGAAACGAAAATGTTTGGATTTTTAGTTCGAACCCCCTAAAAATGCTATCTTTGTAGGATATAAGTTAGGTTTTATAAGAAAGAGAAATAAAAATATTGAAATTATAAGATACAAAGGCCAACTTTTAGATTAATGATTCTCACAAAAAAAAAAAATTGAAATTGATTATTATGAAACATATTCTCACGTAATACAAACCATTAATTTTAATTTTTCAGTAATGACGTATGTTTATGTGTTTTTATAAATAAAACAAATATTGAATTTGTAATTGTGATAGTTTAGTTGATGATTTAAATCTAATTGAAACTTCTGAAGAGCTCAACAAAATTGTAGATTATTTGAAAAATGAATTTGAAATGTAAGATATGAGATAATCAAGTTTATATTATATGGATAAAACACATCCATGGGCATCACCTTGTTGGAGAATAATAGGACATTGAAAAAGTATATACCACAACCCTACCTCTAGGCAGAGAACCCACATTTGATTTCATTAGTTTGGCGACTCACTAATCTGTACAAGACAACAGTGTATGTGAACCTCCTCTTGTGATAGCTGATTTGAAAAGTTCTTTTTTTTTTTAAACAATATGTATAGTTATAAAAGATGGTTGTTTGATCACTTCACGAGAAAAACAATTCAGTTTGTTCAATGGGAGAGGAAAAAAAACCCTTCTTGAGTCTGAAGTATATAACATAGTGAAATTGGAGCATTAACATATCTTGCAATTTATAATAGATTGGGCAATTTTTTTTTGCAAAATATAATTACATCAACTCAAAGACACTGAAATAGTGTTAAACACATTTTTGATTACTTAAAAGGTATTATTTATATGAAATTATTTTATTCTAAAAAATTGAGATCTTTATTAGGATATGGAGATGTTGGTTATCTTTCTGATCCACGTAAAACTAAATTACAAAAATGAGATATGTATTTATACATAATGGAATAGCTATATCATGAAAATATATGAAGCGGACATTGACATCAATATTTTCAAATCATTTTGAAAGTATTGTAATTCATGAGGCAAGTCGAGAAAGTATATGGTTGGGAAACATGACCATCACATCCAAGCATCATTCGGATTAGTTTAAACAAAATCTAGTCCTACAATATTGTATGAAGGTAACACAATTTGTATTGGACAACTCAAATGATGCTGCATCAAAGGAGACATGATAAAGCATATTTCTTCAAAATTCTTCTATATACTTGAGTTTCAAAAGACTGGTGATATCATGTTCAATAAATTCATTCAAGGAATAATGCGGTTGGCTTATTCACAAAAACATTAGTGACGTCTACATTTAAGAAATTGGCACACGAGGTAGAAATGTGTCGACTCAAAAATTTTCGATAATCAACATCAAGAAAAGTAGTAGTACTATTTTCATTCGTCATGTTTTATCACAATGGATTTTTCTGTCAAAATTTTAATGAAATAATATTTATTCTTAATGCTCCAAAATAATTGTATTTTTTTTCTTTGTTCGATATTTTTGTCTCACTGAATTTTTATCAAATAAGATTTTAACGAGACAAATATTATGTAATGAGTTATTCAAGAGCGAGTATTATAAATTAATGAATGATCATTGTATTAATGTAGTCCTAATTATTACGACTATTGTATTCCTTGTAACACTAATTTTTTCCTATAAATATAAGGCTTTGATTCTTGATAATATAAACAAAAGTATATTGGTTTATCTATTTTCTTATATTATCTCTCTAATTTATTAAAAAGAATTTTGGGAATTTAGCCAAACAACCATCTTTTGAATGTGAGAGCTTTTAGACTTTTGAAATATTCTCTTAAACACACTCCTAAGTAGATGACACCTCAAGTGAATTATTTACTTTAGTAATTTCTTGCTTTTACACCATGTTTATGTTTTAATTTTTTGTATTTTGTCGTTTTCGTACCATATATATTATTTTAATATTTGTATATTTTTAATTTGCTATCACTAACTTCATGCTATATTTATCCACAATATGTTGGTTAATTATGCAGACATAAAGTTTAATCTTGTCCAAAGTTAGTTTTTGTCAATATATATATAATTGAACTTTGTAACAAAATAATGATAATTTAGGATCATGAAATTGCTATTTGAGTATTAATATTCTCTTTTGATTTTTTTTTTTTTAATACATTACTACTAGAAAGAAGAGAGAGTAAAGGTAATTTTACACATAATATTTATAATTCAAATAAATAAAATTAAAATTATATATGATTACATTAAAATATTGTGCCATGATAAATGAATTAAAATATTAATTAAAAATAAATATAGGAAACACTTCATGTTTACTCAAGTAAAATTTACATCACTTTTTGAGTTCTCAACCAAACAATCAACAAATTTTTAACCTCCTAGAAACTCTACTATTTAAAACTCAACCTCTAAAAGCTGTACTTATAAGTAACAGTTGTGCCAAACATAAATCAATGGAGTACACTCCCACCTAAACTTTTGTTAAGGACTCATAGTGCTACATAGCATTATTAAATGTATGTTTTAGAAGTGTTCATAAACGGTGTTAATATACACACACACACATAGATGAATGATAGATAAGTGGGTAGTACTCGTGAAAAATTCGAAAAGTGTGAATAAAAAATTTCTTGAGTATTTATAAACAGTTTATAAACATGAGTCAAACATAGGATTAGCTGAACAAATATGACTAATTATCTCACATATATTAAGCCCCTGTTTGGTTTTGTTATAAATCAAATTTTAGTAAATTTTAATAAAAATTGATGAAATGTTTGAAAATTTGATAAAAATTATGGATCTATGAAATGTGTGATTAAAATTCGTACAAAAAGTAATTTTTCAAACTTGAGCCTTTCGAGTAAAGTAATTATCAACAAGAGAATAATTTCTTGGATCCATTTAACTTGTAAAAGGCAATTCAAAATCATGTGTTAGGCATTTAAAACCATTGCTTTCCTTTTACTCTTATCTTTTTTCATTGATGCAATCATTCTTCAAAGATTTAGAATTCAAAAGTTCAAACAATAAAGGCAAAAGCACATTTTATCGTGCCCAAAGTGATCGTGTCACGTACCCCGCCAATCTTTGGTTTGCTAGGTGTTGATTTTTTTTATTTTTCTAAAATAAATAAATACAGGGATGTGTTATAATATAATCACATGCTACAACATAATAATAGATATATATTTATTGTTGTTAAAGTGTCTTTTGCTATATTGGTCAAATTCCTCATTCCGCGTGAAGGAGTCTTCAAGGTCACTTCATGTTTGTTTGGTGGGTTTTGGAGTTTTGCCCAATTTAAATTTTGATCATTTTTACAATGTATATAAAAATCAAATTAATAGAATAAAAATTAAAAATTGGTTTTCAGAAAAATAAATAAATAAATTTAAGAAAATTGAAACAGAATTCACCAATCTATTGGTATTGTAACAAATTAGACATAAACTTTATTTATTTATTTTTTTTTTGGCATTTAAATTTCATTCATATTAGCGTTCAAACAATTCTTTTTGCGAGATAAAAGTATATTTAATTAAGTTAAAATTAAAATATGATGGAGAAAGGAGAACGAACATATTGGATTCCAAACCCCGCAATTGTTTCCACCCCCGCGTCCCGCTGTCCTTCCTGTATAAAGGACTTTTCTAGGAAGACTCAATAAGTCTTTGTAAATGATTCCTACTAAAGATATCGAAAGTTATAGTATTGTAAAATAGAAAATGCAAATGTTACAAAAGAACAAAAAAAAATAAAAATAAAAATTGAATACTCATTTTCACAAAGACATTTCTACAACATTTTTAAAAAATTAACATAAAAGAAATGCTTTCCGAATTATGGATGACAATTGAAGGAGCCAAGACAATGCTCTTGTCCTGTCGAAGATTTTGGGAAAACGAATTGAAAGAAGATTAGTCTCGTTTGGTCCCATTAAAATTATAATATATTTTTCTCTCATCTTTTCAATCATATATATTTCAATAAAATAATATTACATGTAAATCGAAAATTTTTCATTCTTTTCCAATCATCAATTCTTAAAAAAAAATATTATTTCAAAACTATAATACCAAATAATGGGGGCCAAATGGGGTAATATTCTCATTTTTAGTTCAAATTACTTATTTAATTTAAACGTAAATATAAAAAATATATTGGACCAGATATTTTTTCGTTACCAAGGGCATATATATATATATATATAAAATAAGAGTCTACACATGTTTGGACCAGATATTTATCCTTACCAATGGGAAAAAGACATTTTGTAATTTCCATTACAAAGTCTTAGAGCCCATCATTTCGATTAGTACCAAGCCGACAGCGTTGTTAAAGCACTCGTCACTCCTCTGTTGAATCATCTTCCCACCGTACTTCATTTGCAGAATGGTGAAACAAATCAAATCCACCCTATATAAGCACTTGCAGATGGTGTAAAGCTGCAGTTCTTCATTTTTTTTTCCCTTCCAAAAAACTCTTTCTTGAACCCTGTCCTCTGATTTCTTGAATTTTCTCATGAATCTTTTAATGAAAAGCCCATAAAAATTCACTTGACGTGAGTGAAATCCCACATTCAGAATGGGGTTTACACAAAAATCCCTTATTTGATAGCACAGAAATTTAATTCAACTGAACCCATTTAAGATTTTGTTGTTAATTTATCTGAAATCTTGGATAATTCATCTGTCATTCGCACCATGCCATTTCCATGGAAGAAAATGAGGAGCACCAGAATTTCCCGATTGGTAAACGATCATTTGCGGAACTCCCAAAGAAGGCGTGGGGACTCTTCTCTCGTGGTGCAGACGGGGTTCCCGACCTCTCTCGTCGATCTTTTCATCAAGAATCGTGAAAAACTGAAAAAACCATCCAAGAAAAATAGAGCTAGGAACACAGCTATACCCCTTGATGATTCTAATGATCCAGTGATTAGTGGATCCTTGTTCACTTCTTCATCTATGCATACGCCTTTGCTTTGTCCTCCACCTAGTCCCTCGCCTTTGCCTTTACCTCCGTGGTCGAGGGATCTGGACGAAATTACTGTTGTGGATACTGATGATGGTGACTTTGGTGCTAGAGGTGATAAGAGGGGAAGTGGTGTTAACAGGGGTGTGGATATGATTCGATTTTTTGTGACAGTTGTAAAGATCTTTATGGCCGTGGTTTTGGCTATGGGGATGGAGAAATTAACAGTGGGGATGACAATGTCCGCATTTTTCTTGTTTTCCCTGGAGTATGTGGGGAAGTGTGGATTATTGAAGCCGTGTTCTGAGGCACAAGAAGGGTTAAGATTGATAGTGCAAACTTTTTGTAGGTTTTTCGCAGATAGGAAGAATGCTGGTGTTTTGAGCTATGATGTGCTGCAAGTGGAGTCTTTTAATCCCATCTGCTCGGGTTTGAAGAGGGAATGTGGGTCGAATAGTCCAAGTCGAGAAACTCAAAATGTGGAACCTAAGCGTTTAGGGATTGCCATTGCTGAGGAAATTCAGTATGAAAAGGAGATAACGGAAGATTCTAGCCATGATGGTAGATTGGGATGTATAGAATTAGAAATTAGGAAACTGATAATGGAAGAGTCTATAAGTGAAAGGCTGGAATTGAAGGAGAGGAAGTTGCGCAGAGCTAAGATGAAGTCGAAGATCAAGAAATTTGTTTCAAAGAAACTACGTAGAAGAAAGGAATGTAACTCTGAAAGTTATGAAGTTAGTCCAATTAGAAAAGATAGCATTGCCATATGTGAAGAAAGACACACATATGAATGTGAGGATGAAATCGAGAAAGAAAGTGATTTCAAATCGTCGTCCCTGTCAATTGGAAGGGATGGATGGAAAGATTTTGTTGATGCCAAATGTGCTTCTGATAAATTATTATTGGAGGCCAACAGTAAAATAACTCTAGGTGAAGAAAAGGTGAGAACAGAAACCGGACAGGATTCGAGATATCTCTGTCTGATTGTTCTCATCGGACTTATTGGAGGTCGAATATTTGCACTTATGATTGCCTTATTGTGGTGCCTGCTGTTAAAATCCAGCAAAACACCACTACAAAGACTCATAAAGCTGCCTATTATAGGTATTTTACTGATCAATCTATATAGACGATTTTGTTTGTAGAATCATCTGAACTTTTTGTTCATTCTGTTGTTTGCTTCTTGTGAATTTATATTCAAACTTTAGAGTTACAGAACATTCAACCTTTGATTGGCCTCTCAACTCGAGGTGTTGTTCCGGATATATACAATTCATGATTTATGAATGCTTCATTTTGTTGTCTTCTTTAAGTTTTCTGTATCAATTTGAATGAAAGGATGGCTATTTATCTTTTTTTTTTTTTTTTTGAAAAAAAAAAACACTCTATTAAGCGTTAAAATGCAAATTTTGGATACAAGGAGGAGTTTCCTCCAACACTATTCTCTCCTTAAAGAGTTTAAGTGCTTCCTTTGCTAAGGTATGCGCAATCACATTAACCTTCCTAGGTACATGATAAACGGACCAAGAATGAAAAGATATAAGCATACTCTTCGTGTCCTGTATCAGTAGACCGGCATAGTTCCAAACCTCTAATTCACCATTGAGTCCTTTTACAACATTCATCGCGTCGCCCTCTAAAATGATCGACCTCAATTTCAGCTGTTTACACAGAGAAATAGCTTCCAAAGCTCCAATAGATTCTGCCAGAAAAGCGTCCGGGAAAACTTTCCTTTGAGACATCAGCGATGCTATAACTTTTCCTGTCCAATCTCTCACAGCTACTCCAATACCAACTCGACTGTTAGCCTGGTCTACCGCCGCATCCCAATTAATTTTGTAATTGTTTCGTGGAGGCACAACCCAAGATTGGGGGTCATGGTCTCCTCTATTCCGAAGCCCGATCGGTATGGAATTCATGCTACTATACTCCAATGCATTTTGTCGAGCCTTGTTTGAAACTATTTCTGGAGTTTCAAATTTATTCTCAAAGACAAAATAATTCCTCCTCTTCCAAATCAGGTAAGCGGTAGCTGCAAAAATCTCCATTTCTACCTCAGATAATTTTTTAAACAGATGGCAGACTAGTTCTTTGAAATTCAACGGCTTAAAGGACATCTTCTATATCTTACGTGCACTTGAGCTCCAAACATCTTGGGCAGAAACACAGCCACAAAACATGAACTGTAGACTTCTCTTCCTGTATGCAAACTGGACATAAAGGGGACTCCCTTATTTTCCTTCTATTCAAATTCAAGTTTGTGGGTAAGGATTCATGGGTCGCTCGCCACAAAAACATTTTACTAGCGTTTGGCACCTTTAAGCTCCAAATTTTCCTCCAAATTTCGGTCTGACCATTGCTATTAGAGCATTGACCCAGTGATTCTTGTTTCAGCTGACTAAAGAAGTGGTAAGCGCTTTTGACTGTGAATTACCCATCCTTCGTGCCCCGCCATATGAGTTTATCTGGACTTCCACATGAACTAATAGGGATCTTACTGATGATATTAGCTTCTGACTCACCAAAAATTTCAAAGATCAATTGTATGTTCCATGATTTTGTTTCTGCAACAATGAGCTCACTCACTTTACCAAGCTTAAACCGGTCATGTAAGGGAGATTGAACTTGGAAGGTGGAGGATTGGGGGATCCATTTATCCTTCCCAATGACAACTGATTTTCCATTCCCTATCCTCCAGAGAAGCCCTTCTCTCAACATTTTTTGTGCACCTAAGAAACTCTTCCATAAGAATGATGAATTGCTACCAATTTTGCTATTCAAAAAATATGTTCTGATGTAGTATTTTGCTTTCAGCACCAAAGCAGCTAGAGAATTTGGATTTTGGATGAGATGCCACCCTTGCTTTGCTAGTAAGGCAACATTGAAGATCTCAAAATCTCTATAACCAAGACCTCTTGCATTTTTAGATGTCCCCAAAAGGACCAAGGTAACCATTGTGTTTTTGTTCTGTCTCCCATGCTTCCCCACCAAAATTTCTTGACTTGTCGATTTATCTCCTTAATGAAAATAAAAGATTTAATAACAAATAGGGAAAATTGCAGCAGCGGTCCCTAACCTTTCCAATTTTTGCAGACTTTACCCCAACCTTTCATAAACATGCAGATGGAGTCCAAATGGATGAAAACATCCATTTGGCTGTTAGTTGACCAAATTGAAAGGGTAAAAGGGTAACTTTGCTATTTAACCCCATAAAACAAGTAAAATAACTAAAAAAAAAACACTATTCATCTCCTTCTTCACCCCTTCCCCACTCCTTCCACCCAAACAAAAAACTAGAGCCCCCACTGCTACTGCCGGCACACCTTTCCCACTGCAATTATCCCCGTTTGGGACTGCCACAACGACCACCACACCTTTCAACTCACCAACAACAGGTCCTAGCAAGGTAGTTTTATCATTTTTGCAGCACTTCCTACCTCTACTCAAAGCCCAAAAGGTACTTGCCAAGAGTTCCAAGATTTTCTTGAAATAGTTGTAGCATTAACACTTATAAAAAAAATGAAGCCGTGAATAAATTAAAGAGAGATGACATATTACTAACCATTTCGGAATTTAACCATTTTCTTATGGCTTGGTAACAGCAATGAGTTTAAATTAGTGTCGAAATTAAAGTCCAAATTATCATTTTTCGGTTTAGCCCATGATAATTGCACATACTTAATTTTGATAACTAGTTACTGCAAGAAAAATGGGTTCCATCCCAATGTTGCTACATTCACTACATTGAACAATTCATTATGTCAAAATGGAAGATTGCAGGATGCCTATGAGGTGTTTGATATAGTGATTAAAATGGTTGATAATCGAGCTTTTTGTATGATAGGTTGCAATTTGTTTTGTTTTGGAATGGAAATGGAGGTGGGAAAGGTTGATGCGGAGAGTGGTAGTAGGGTTGTGGCTATGGAAGAGTAATTGGTTTTGTTTTGGTATAGAGGTGGAGGCGGAAATTGTAGGGCAAGGCGGAGAGTGGCAGCGGCGGAGAGTGGCTGTGGAAGGAGGAGGCGGGGGCTGATTTTGATTTAGTTTGGGCAAATCCTTTTATTATGTTTTTTTAATTGTTTTATGTGAAAAACTAATGAATTTACCATTTTGCCCATTTTGGATTTGATCAAAATCAATTTTATTGGTCAACTAACGGTCAAATGGATTATTTTCATCCAATTGGACCTCTACTACATATTTTCGAAAGGTTAGGGACCTTCGCTGACATAAATTAAAGGTTAGGGTAAAGTCTGCAAAAAGTGAAAGGTTATGGACTGCTGCTACAATTTTCCCTAACAAATAAATAGCAGGTTCGAAAACTTTTGAGAGGTTAATATTGATAGTAGTTTTAAAGTTTCTTTCTTTTCTTTCTTACACGCTGTCGTTTAGTGTTCTCTTTAGAAAAACAGATTATTGGTGTATGGTCCTGATTTTATGATTATTAGCAATCCTAAAATGGAGAATCCCCCTCCACCAGCCATTCATCACACCTAGTAAAATGAGTTTTGCGTCGTCATTTCTTGATAAATCCCTTCTTATCTGCCTGCTGGCTAATGTTCTTACGGTGTACTCTCCTTGTTGGCTGGCTATGTCTTTTTCATTGTTAGTGTCGACGTTAACCTCAAGAATTTTAGGTTTGAAGTTGGTGCTTGGGTTTTTCTAGTGTTCCTTGCTTTAATTAAGTTATAGAGAGGCAAGAGTGTATATACTTGTACGTAAAGTGGGCATGAATTGTAGCAAGTCTTCATTTTGCTCATTGGACGTTATACATTAGACTTTTTATGTTACAAAGCAATCTTTGCAATGTCACTGATTTAAGAGAGGGAATTGTGTCATTTGGTAGTCGATGCTTGACTTGAAGGCCAGAGAGCGTTATTTCTTTCCTCCTTGTCGAACTTGAATATTGTCAAGATTGGTATGTTTCTGGTACCATCGGTTAGAATCTAACACGGTGAGGAAGTGGTGACTTTTATTTTTATAGACCAACTCTCTCAACTTTGTTCTCCTTCCACAAGCCATTATTTGATTTTTGAATTAAAATTTTTCCCATTAGAATATCTTTAAAATCTTGATAAGAATTGATATTTTAGTACTCATAGCTACATAGGGGATGTACCATAACCAGGCGTGCTGTCCCCTTCTTTACTTGAATATGTTTCTTACTCCTGCCACATTACAGTACAAGCATTATTTCCCTTTCTAGACGTGTAAACAGGACCGGGCTGTACATTTGGTTTAGCAAAAGGTCATATTTATGCACTATCATTTTGTTTCAAAATTTTGATATTTATTTTAGAAAATATAATTATGGTTTGATTTAATAGATTTTATTTAGATATTTCCTACTTAGAATACGATATTTACCTATATAAAGGGTCTTATGCAATGTAATTAATACAACTTTGATAATAAAAAAAATATATTTTCTCTCTCTTAAATTCTACTTCCATCTAGGGCTGTAAATTGATCGGATCAGCGTATATCCGATTCGATTCGATAAGAAAATTATCTGATCCGATCCGATCCGATCGAATCCGATAATCCAACGGATATTTAATTTTTAAATTCATATCTGATTTGCTATGTTATAGGATATCCTATTCTAAATTAATAAAAATTAGAAAAAAAAATGTTCTTTAAAAAATTTTGAATTAACTTGAGGCCCATAGTTTTTTTACTAGCAAGCTTAATAGTGACTTCTACTATCATGATATTTCTTTTTAAAGGAGATATTCTCTTTTAGTTTTTTATTGACATTCGATATGAGATAATATAAAATTGAATTTCAATTCTAAATATAAATATTTTATTTCATTATTTCTATAAACAAATCAAATTATTTGTTACATATTAATTATTAGTTTTTGAAATTGTAAAATTAATTACAATAATAAATTTAATTAAGAAAAATATAGATATTTATTTACTTTAAAT